TGTATTTCTGTTTTCAAGAAGTAATATATTCGGTTAAGTTCTCAATTTTTATTTTTCTATCCTATTTATGTATGTGTGTGTATGTGAGAGAGAGAGAGAAAAACTTGTCGGGTTTGAAACGTGTTTTTGGCGAGAGTGTGAAACCCCACATTTATAATTATTAATTGGTGTACACATGTATTGCACAAGCATCGCACGTGGATCATTTTGAGTAACAACTTTGGTGAATTTGTAAATTTATTTCCTAAAGATCAGGCAATCTTCTCCTAATGTATTTCTTGTATACAACATTAATTTAGCATTTTTTTTTGTCTGAGAAATTAACAACATAGTGGTGTTGTGTTGTTGATTGAAAGGTCTAATTTCCCCTAGGATGAGAGAAATAAAGAAGTTGTTCTTAAATTAATCAAAATTTTGATGAATTTGTTTTGTTCAAGATACCTAAAGTAATTATCACAAACCTCAAAGGGGCTTGTTATTGTTAGAAAAACACCTTTGCAAGGGGCTAAAAATTAGGTTGTTTCTCTTGACAAATTAATAATTATACTCAGGGATTTCAAAAACTTTTGGGCTTCATGTAAAATTTGGAAATTTTGAAAATTATTTAGAATTTTCTCCCATTAAAAAGTTATCTAAAAAAATATTAGAGTCAGGTTTAAACAAATATGAACACACAAAATTTGGACTTGATTGTGATCCGGTATCATATATGTACTAATTAAAATTGAGTGGTTATTTAACAATATTGTGTTGAAATTGAAATATAATTTATAGAAATTTAGGTCTAGTTTAATTATTTGGATCAGATCGACTATTATTTTTTTAAAGGAGTCGGATCCTTTAAAAACAATAGTTATCTTCATCCCCACCATAACCAATTTCATGGCCTTAAATTCTCCCTATGTCTAGGTTTTTCAAACATGCACTTATATGTTATCAGACTAATGTTAAAGCAATATATAAACAATATTCAAAATAAAAATTGTATTTTGAATCAAAAATTAAATAATTCAACTTGTGATAGAAATTATCAATGTGATAAAAATGAGTGAAAGAAATATGTGGGGATAAATTCAAACGCCTGGCTCCCTTATTTTATAGATGTCGTACAACTACAAAATACAAAATACATTAACACGAAAAAGGTTTATTGTGAAAAAATGAATTCATTGCAAATAATGTAAAATTATGTTATTGACAGTCAATTGAACATGTTTTTGAGTTCCGACTACAAAAAAGTCAATTTCCCAAAACAAAATCTCAATTTGTTACGAACTAATGAGCCAAAATAATCATTAGGGGCGATCTAGTAGTCAAGTCTGTCTTTTTACAAACAAGAGATCTCATGTTTGATATTTTTCACATCTTCTAAAGGTCAATCACCCTTGTTCTTTAGGGAACATGTCCTTAAATTAACTCAAATATATGGTAGCCGGTCTCAGAACTTGATGGAATAGTCAACGCAAACTTTAATACCCTGTTGCAAAAAGTTAAAATTGAGATACAAGTTTGATATAGTAAGTCATTCATGTCTAAGCAATTAAAAAATTAATTTCCCATTACTGTAGTCTGACATATAAAACATTAAATAGAAAAGATAACGGTTACATAAATACATAATCATATCAAAATACATAGAGATTATTTATATTTAACCCAAAAAAAAACCATGTGCATGTAACATTCCATACATACCTTATTTCTCTCTAAATCAACTCTAGATAAGACATCACCTATTTTATCAAATAGGTGAATAAACGATGATTTCTAATCCTATAATACTAGATTTTTATATCTTGATCATTTGAAGATTTTGTTTGTATCTATTCCCTCTTTCATTCCCCAATTAAGAGGGACCAACCTAGTTAGATATTATTCGAGGTGAGGAATGGCCCAGTAGCAAGGATTAACTCTCCCCCGCAAGTAGTCGTAGGTTCAAACTTCACTCCCTCCCACAAGAAAAAAATATATTATTTTCATGTGTGTGTATGCATACATGTATGGAGTAATAATTTTTTACTCGTTTGGATCAAAATTAATTTGCCACCCCGAAATTACCTTCCTATAGTTAGGGATCCAATTGAAAGAGCCAATGCTTTTAATAGAAACAATGAAATGATTATTTTACCTCTTGTAGTTTAAGGGGTATTTTTTTCAATAAAGATGAAATGTTTTGAAGAAAAACTTTATAAAACAATCTCAAATATAAAAGGTTACACTTTGGTTCAAAACTGTAAAAGGTAATTAACGTGACAATCTCAAATATTAGGAAGATAAAATGATTCTAAATAGGGATAAAAAAATAATAAACTTCTATCTTAGCTCCAAAAATCAATTGGGTAAGGTAATATGATAGCGTATTAGCTCCAAAAATCAACATAGATTTAGTATAATTATAGATGATAATGGGTTGTATAATGTTGGGTTTGTGTTGTATCGGATTAAAATTTATTTCATTTATACCCGATCTATTTATATTAATTTATAGTCCAATTTCATGTCATGTATAAACCGTGTTTAGTAGGTATGTATCATATTTAGTCAAATTCGTGTTGACAAATATATTTGACGAGTTTAACGAATATACTTGCTTACCGCTTGAACTAATTAAAACTCAATCCAAACTTGTTAATTTTACAAATTGATTCCACGTAGAGTTTGCAAATTGTGTCTAAAATTGATAGGCGTTAGTATAATTACTTAATGGCTAATCTAGCTTAGTTTGATATGGTGAGCATTCCAAGTCTATATATTTGTAAGTATTCAGAATATCTAATCCTGTGTTTGCTTCATTCACTTGTCTAGACACTCACTCACTTATAGTCATAATCACCATGACATCCATGAAAGAAAAGAAGAGTGGTTACTATTGCCATTCCTTTTGGCTCTGTTGCTCGAAGAAGGAGAAGAAGAAAGCCATTGATACTTATAGTGATAGCAGCACAGATCAAGACGATGTTTCATCGACTATTTTTGGGCCGGAAAGCAAAGGATCGTGCACGTTCATCTGTTGCTCCATGATCGATGGATCGCCTTCTTCTCCGGAGCCACTTCATGCTCAAAAAATTGATTATCCTTCTGGTTAGGGATTTCTCTGATTTACTTGTGTTTGCTTTGCTTGAGAAATTACATTAAGTCTTTTTTCTTGATCCAAAATTACTTCATACTAACATGAAACTTGTTGGATATTATTTGAAAACTCTTAGCAAACTTTATTCCGGTGTATGACTTACCTTAGAAATGAGTTATAAACTCAAACGTCCTAAGTTTGAAACTTAACAACTTAATTGGGTTACAAATATTATATATTTGGAACATAGACGTAGGTTTTTGGGTTAAATTACGTAAATTTGTGCCTTTTGTATTATTCTCTTTTATTTTATTGATTATCTTGTAGTCTCGACCACAACAATTTGTGTGAAAATCACACATATGTAGACATAGTAGGTTTGGCAAACTTCAAGGGTTTTTCACACTTTGCATCCTGAAAGATTTTAAAAATTTTACTTTGTACACTCAAAGATTAAATTTTTCATATTGTACCCTCAATGTATCAAAAATATTGTAATATAATCCTTCTATTAATTTCTGTTATTTTTTTCGTCAAGAGTCAACTTATTGACAAAGACGAAAAAATTAACGAAAAACTAACATAAAGGTCACATTGCAACATTTTTAATACATAAATTTGTGAACTAATTGTCATAATTTCAAGGACTTTAATCCCTTCTATGCCTAAGTTATGGGTCCATCACTATGTTTTACTAAGACATGTTCTTGAATTTTCTTGGAGCATTATTTTGGTATTGACATAGTACTTTTTAGTTTTCAGATATGGGTATGGCAAGGAGTGCTCTAGCAGTGGTGCCAGTGCCGCCACACAGGGATGTCTAAAAAAAGAGCAGATAACATAAATTGCTATATGGTTGGCCTGCAATTTCTTGGTGGAAAATAATTTCACTACCTAAATAAGTGTTATGCCATGAATGGTTGTCTTTATCGATTTGGATCCACTCCGTACCTTCTTTCATCGGTTTCACTCGATGATAAATGTATTAAAAGAAATTTGAATGATGTTTTATGTTATGAGATGATAATGTGTAAAATGTAATTTGATGTTATAATTATATACTAATTACGATATTTTAAGATAAAATTAAATTTTTATACGCTTATAAACTTAAGAAAGTTTAATTTACTAGCGGATATACTAACGGACATTGACGGCAGGAGTTTAAGTGTTACGCACGTACAAATTTCAAAAAGTTTGTATATAATATTTCAAATGTCAGGAATTTTGAGTGATTAAGTGACAAATCTCAGAAATTTAGATATAATTCTCCCAAAAACAAAAACACTCACACTCCTCGTATGTGCACGTGCGAGAGGGGGTAGAGAGAGACCTAAAAATAAAATTATTTCAAGTTTAAATTCCATGAGCTAAAACATTTATGGCATGCGTTGTTTATTATCCTCTCTTTCTCGAATAACTTATCTACCATTTGCTAATGTATTATACATACGATTAAGTTTGGATAAAGAGTAAATCTATGTAAAATATAAAAAACTATAGGGTTAATAACACTTCTAGTCTTTCAAATATGCTCGTTTTATTAATTTGTTCCTCAATGTATTAATTTTGTTAATTTGGTTCCTTAAGTCAATTCGTTGTTAAATGGTCTTCAATTAGACAGTCCGTCATAATTTTTGACAAAAATTATCTATTGTCATTCTTCTAAACAATTTCACGTGATTAATTCTGTCAAAAACTTAACATGTTATTTGTGTATGGATCATTTAAACACGAACTAAATATTTTAAAGATCAAATTAATAAAATTAATGTATTCAAAACTAAAGTGACAAAATAAACATACTTTAAAGATCAGAAATACTATTAACCAAAAATGTTATACTAAACAAACGCTCTTCCATTGAGAACTTCAACCTGACATAACATCGAAAATGGTAAAGGCACGTCCATACTTCAACGGCCCTAATCGAAAGTTTTGGTCCAGGCCCTTTCAAAATATGTTATGAATATGATGTATAATACTACACTAGTTTTGAGCCAAAAACATTGTTTTGGGCTGGAAATTTGCCCCAACCTTAAGAAGTTTAAACACAGACCCCTCTTTGTTTCCCCTTCAACTTCTTCAAAAATAACAATCCACAGTAAATACCTCCATCTAAGTCCATGAAGTATAAACAAGCTGAAATTTGTTTCAGCCATGGATCAAAGCAAAAGCAGCGAATTTATGAAGTCACTCAGACTTCTGTTTAAAAACTCTGAATAAAAAGAAAAGAGCTATCTCATGAAAATTTTAAATTAGATTGTACAGGTAGCATAAGTGAGCAACCACAACAAAAGAAACACTGGAGAGAGAGAGAGAGAGAGAGAGAGAGTTTGTTGCATTCCCATAGCCCTAGCCAACGGCTCATACAAGCTCTGATGAATGGTACTATACATGATCTACTGAGGTGTTTGGCCATGTGGTGGGGGACCTGGAGGCAGCGGCGGATGCATACCAGACGGCATACCAAAATTTGTTTGCAATGTTCCCATGCCTGCAGCATTCGGATTACCAGACTGCAGTAAGAAATAGCTCACGTCAGGATTGGTTGGAAATATATATATTTTTTTCCTGTATAGGTATTAGCCAGACAAAGATTATTAATTCACAATCAGCTTAAACCCCACAGACAAATTCTTCAAAGGCGTATGCAATGACATGGTATATACATCAATCGTAGTATGTAAAGATAACTATCCGAGGTAGTTCTGGTGTATAAGCCAATATGACATATAACAATCAAAAAACAAAAGTTCAACAAGCAGCTTTTAAAAAAGAAAACAAAAAACAAAACAAACATTCACAGGACTGGCACCAGGTTCATCTCACATCAGATTCGTACAGTCTCAGCAGAGTCAAACTAACAAGGAGCCATGTTTATGATCAATACATTTCAGGATGACACTTCTCGGGTACCCCATAGCATGTCTCCTATATTTCTTAGATTTGCCCATAACTCAAACATCAAATTATTAATTTTGGAAATATAGCCAACATGTTGGGATTTAACATTCTTTTCACAAGTGAAGGTAAAAGGACAAAATCAAGTTTCACATTAACCGAGATTTAGTTTGATTTGCTGCTGTAGGAGTTTTGTGTTATATTGTATCAGGTATTCGAAGTCAACTTTGTTGAGGCCCTTGAGGGCATTTCACAATGACCCTTAATTTAGATCAAGTCATGCATTTGGGTTGTTCAAATTGGACTTCAGTAGGATTATACAAACTTAAATAGCCAACACACTTAGATCTTTACCATCAAGAATTGCTTAATCTCTATGTTTATGTGGCCACTAAGTACTACTTGGCCAACCTTTGAAAAAATACGTATTAAAAATTATTTTAGTAGAATGAAGATGCAGTTTGAGTGCCTAGAGTTCATTACAACCTTACTTTAGGTGGTTTAAAATTGGGAATTTTTGGTTGGATTCCCAGAGTCTTCCCTACTTGGTCTATTATTTGAGATTTACAGTAGAATATTTCAAGATACCTCTCCGTCTACAGGCTTACTTACTCTTCTTCTTTAGATTCAATATCATTAAACTCTAATCAATCTCAAGTCCTCAAACTTTCCCCTCACCTCATCCTTCACACCAACAACCTAAATAAAAAAAAATGAGATTTCCCAGAGGCAGCACCTCGTTACTTGCAATGTGAGCAACCAAACACTCTCTAAACCAAGAAAATTTCAAGCCATTTCAAAGGGGTACGCATACGACAAAAGCCATCACAATTATGAGTTCTCCTAAACATATCAACACAAGCATGCACACAGGAATCGCGTAAGTGATTTTTGTGGCCCTGTATACATAATGCAGGAAATTATGAGTTGGTGTATGACAAAATCCAGGTGACATCCTTCAGTGAAAGATTTCCTTAAGACTAGGCGTTTGTCATAGGAGCAAGTTACACTTTACCTCCTAGTAGTTTAGGTCTTCAACAATTTTCTTCCTAGTGCTTGAAAATTATATTTCACACCCTTACACTTTTGGGTCATTGTTTGAATTTCTAAAATTGAAGGTCAAAGGTTGAAAGAAAATATTTCAATCTAGAAGCACAGCAAAACCTAAAAATAAGATACCTATTTCAAAGAAATATAGATTGTCATATCATGATATATCCAAATTGAATGTTTCTAACTAAATAATCAAAACTAGCATTTAACTAGTTGGTTTGCTTTGACGTACTCATTAAAAAGAGATACGGTATAGTTAGCTCATACATGTCCTTTTGACATCTTGTAGTAGAAACACCCACGTCTTCAAAGCAACATGAATTTTCTTGTGTGTATTATTGTTATGTGACTTCGAGAGGAGGGGTAAATGATTAATATTAGAAATTATATATATTGCTTCGCGTATCCGGGTCAACGTTAACTGGATCGTGAGTCGTTTTGGTATGTGATATGGGCACGTGTACATGGGACGACACTTTCTTAGGTACGTTATATGATATGGGTAGGCTCAATTGGTATGATTTTTTGGATCGCAATTCATTTGGGAACTCTTATCTAGATTGCTTTCACCACTATATAATATTATATATCATAGAACATCCATAAATACTAAGTCAATTACCATTTAAATTACATTTGTACTCGACTTTCTGTTATCTAAAACAATATATAATTATAGATATATATACACGTAATTAACTAATATGCATTTTATATTTGTACTACATATACAATTTGGGACCGTACATTTTGATGATCTGGATCACAAAACCACCCTGTTTGGAATCGATTTACCTAGATCAAGAGTCGTCAGGAGTTCAGTGAATTCTAGTCCAACAAATATCATATCCAAACACTTTGACAAAGTGTTCCTACTCCACCAATTTCTATAAAATACTATGTTGAAATGACTTTTATATCTTTGTATGCATCTTTTTTCCTCTCTAAAATAAAAACATCTCTCTCTCTCCCTCCCCTCACTTTGATAGTAATTTTCAATTAGCAAAAATTCAGCGGAAGTAAAAGTAAAGAGATCTTGTAACCCACATCAATTGATTGGAAGGCAACCCTCCAAACCAACTTAGAAGAGAAAGAATCATCTGTCACCTGGTAGGGATTGAGCCCCAGCATCGGTGGCATCTGCCCAGCTTGTGGCCTGTTGAATGCACTCCCTGGTTGATACATTTGGGCACCACCTGCATTTGAAGGGCCCTGCATATTAGGCAACCCGTTTGGAATTCCTCCCTGTGATACAGATCCTGAGTGGATGGGATTCATGCCCATGAAATGGCCTTGCTGTAGTGGAGGAACCATGTGATTTATTGTACCTTGCATACCCTGGAAGTAAGAATGTGTCAATAAAAGGTGGTCCAAAATTTTCCTGTACACTAGACTTCTTCCTGGTCCCCATATTACGGCATGGGTTCAATGAACCTATAAATGAGGTGGGGGTATGAGCCCATCATTTCAATGGAACAATTAAGTAAGTTGCAAAAATTCCATCACAAAGCTGGAAAAAAAAAAAAAAAAAAAAAGTAAACCCTCGTTATCAGGGGATGTGAACAGTGTCCCTCCACACAAAGAAAAGGTATCACCAAAAACATGGAATTCTCATGGGAGTCCTGTACCATAGTTCATCTCCAAGTCCTCATCCTACAAGTTTCCAATTATAACTTGCAAGCAGTATAGCACAGCATGCCCTTCATGGCATGCACCACGAGAAAGCATAGTTATCATATATATATATATATATATATATATATATATATATATATATATATATAGTTTTTTCAAAAATTATTGAGCAAAAGTCTTCTGAGTAAAGAAACCACAAAAAAAAAAATGGAGGAAAAAAATAGTGAAACCTAGGAAGCACGGATATTTCCCACGGGGGTGTCGTGGCAGTGTCGGACACATGTCCGACACAGCTAGAAGTGTTCTAAATAGTGAATTAAGTCGGACATCGTCAGGACATGGCCATGAATTTTTTTATTAAAAAGTAGCTTTTAACAATTAAAAGGAGTGTGATTTTTACTTTATTTTTAATATATTTTTTGTTATGTAATTTATATACTATGAATGTTAATAGATGCAATGATGTTTGATGAAAATGGTGGATATTTAATTTGATCTATTTCAATTTTAATCAAAAAAAATAATATTTGTTAGGTCTTATTATTAATATTGTTATAATATATCCTTTATTTTTAATATATTACAACTCTATTATTATTTAAAATATATATTATATTATTTTAATAGTCATATCCTTATTGTACCCGTGTCCCATAATTGTGAACTTTATTGTATCCCCGTGTGCGTATCCGTTCTTCCTAGAGTGAATCCGTGCTTCCTAGAGTGAAACAGAACTACAAAAAGAGGAACCAGAGCCAACCAGCACCCAAGTCAAAAACAATAGCAGAAAGTGATTATAAGTGGAAATGCATGCAAAGTAATACCATTGGACCAGGCATCTGCATTGGCATCGAAGAGGGCATTGATGGAATGGGCAAAGATCCTGGCATCGAAGACGGGGTGTTTGAAGGCATATTAAGTGGTGGCAACTGGTGTGGAGGGCGTAAATGAGGATGTGGTAGGAGAGGTAAATGGGATGGGGGCTGCAGCTGTGGCAAATTCGGTGGTGGCAAAGGCAAAGACATCATTTGCTGGGGTAGTCCTTGGTGTTGCTGCTGGACATGCTGAGCAGTTTGTTGATATGCTTGCTGCTGATTAGCTGCAAGAAGAGATGGATGTGGACCAGGCGGGAGAGGAGGAGCTCCTAAAGGCATTGATACTGAAACAGATGGCTTCTGTTCTCCATGGGCTGATGAATCAAGAGATGGAATAGAAAATGGCATTGCAACTCCAACCCCTGGAATGGTTCCCTCATTTCTTGTTAACCCAGCAGCAAATGGTCCTGGAGTTGTTGGGGCCTCAGGCCCAGGGAAATTACCAGGCATGCGAGCGGCAAGAGCAGGATTTTGCTCACCAAAACCTAGTAATATTCAAAACTGTTAATAAATGAAAGGAAGCAACTTGGTTATTTTTGTCTCAATTCTTAAGCAAAGTTTCTATTTTGGCCTGACATATTGGGGAATGGATAATGAATGCTCAATGCAATGGCAAACAGTTCAGTTCCATGATATTTTCTTCTGATACAAGGAATTCTCCATGAAAATATTCTCAGCTTCCACTGGTTTATGCAATTCTACGAGTAGAAACTGTCAGAATCCAAACTAGAAAGCTCCATTGTGTCCAAAAAGGATTAACTTAACAAGGGGAGAATAGTCCAAACCTTGGCTTTGGCCTACGATGAATTTATCACGAGCTGGATCTCCAGGCCTATTTCTGCACCAGAACTTTGTCGTGTGATCATTGCTACCACTGCATCAGAAATTACACTGTTTAGTAACTGAAGCAGTAACCTAGGTTCAATAGAAACTGACAAATAGTTGATCTCTTCAAAAGAACTTTCATGTTCCAGACAAATTTGCATATCTGCTCTGAAGAATCAGCCTAATCACCTCTTCCCATGCAAAAGAGAGAACAAAAAGGAGGGATGGGGTGAAGAACCATGCAAAGGCTTACAACCAGCCACAGACAGGAATAATGTTCTACATATTTCAAAATGCAAACTGAATCAACCAGTGATTAAATACTGCATCACTAAAGAAGGGTCCAGATTCCTTTCTTGGATGTCCCTAAATACTTCTCCACAAGAAAAGTCAAGGGAAATCATCGGCACAGTTGATTTTATTCTAATATAGGATATCACTGAAAATTAACTGTGGCTTATCCTTGCCGGTTTCTGTCATGTCCGATGAAGTAGACATGAATTTAGCCTCTCAGACTTCACAAAAATGCTGAAACAAACCTATGATTTGTGCAAAGACATTGACACAGTCAAAATGGTAAGTGACATGGATATCACCAAACAAAACCAGTACGCAGTCATCACAAGACATGACAAATCGACAACTTAAAGAAAACCTTAAAATAATATTAAGTGCTGGAAGCCTATTAGACACAACATATTAAATAGTAGTTGCTCATGATCTGCAGTCTGTGTGACTGTTAGCATTTATAGGTCAACATCCAAAAAAGAAAAATCTACAAAACAAATTACCAGTTACATGCTAAATTTACGACTTCCAAACGTGTGTTGGGTCTTGTATCATTCAACCTACGCGTCTCCCAACAAAGGTTATCAGAGCTATCCCATACAAATTATTTCCCAACTACTGGTATCAGAGTCTAGAGATCCTGAGTTCAAATCACACCACCGCCTCCTCCCTTACCTCCCAAAAAATATCACGTGGCCAGACCAGCCAAAAGGGGCCACACATGTCGGGGAGTATAAGATAAATACTTATGTTACACCCATCACTAAAGCATAGAACGCACAGATACGGATACGGTGATATAACAAAACTTGAAAAAACAAGATATGGATACGACCAAGATATGCTTATAATAACATATATTTTATTATTATTTAACAATTTAAAAATTATAATTTTTAATAATTCTTTAACAATAATAAGCAATATTAAGAATTTTTACCTTGAATAAGATGTAATATCATCTCATTATAATATATTCATGAAGTGAAAGGAACCAATTAAAGGAATCAAAACCAGCATTTAACTAATTGAATTGTTTACTAGTATTTGTTTCTAAGATTGTAATATAACTAACTCATAATACCCTTTTGACATGTAATAATAGAAAATACTTAAAACACACGTGTCTTCAAAATTAAATGGAATTTTGTTAATATTTTTGTATTGTATATGAACTCGAAAGGAGAGGATATGGATCAAAATTAAAAATTATACATCTTGCTCCATATTTAGAAGTATCCGCGAAGTATATTTTATTAATTATCGAATATGTATGATGCATATCTTCAAATATGCAACAAGTATCGTATCCGATACAGTAGCCAATAGCTTAACCTTTTTAGAGAAAATGGTGGTTCAACATCAATGTTATCAAATTTTAGAGTTATATAGGCAAAAGCCAGGGAAGTGTCCTTTTACATTACCCATCCCCTTTCAAAATGAAGCAGGAAAAAAGAATACTACATAAACTCACAGATAAATTCAGAAAATAATGTATCCAAATTTTCACAGTATGGAGCCCACAAAAATGAAAAGCCACCCAATGTCACAGTTGCTCTCTAAGAACAAAGCCATACACTGAGAATTCCAAGAGTTTTTTGCAATCAATTCAGAAAGGATTCAGCTGCTTTAACTATGGCATATCACTAACAGTAACTTCCCCAGCAACCCATGATAAGTCAGAACTCTGGACAGTGATGGCGTAAGGCAATAAGGCTTGGTCAAGGAAACTATATATAATTAAAAGTTAAAATGATGACAAAGGAAGTAAACTAAAATTATGCCACTCACACATAGGAACATTGGAAACCGACCATGATTATCAACAAATTGTTCTTAGTGGTTCTGGGTGTTTGCATGTGTGAATTTAAAAGAGGCACTCACTCATCAGTAGCATCATACACAACAATAAATCCTAGATCACATTTACTTCCATATCATCTAGAAACACTTGAAATAATATGAAGGATTTGGAAAAGAAACTATATTAGAAATAAGAGAAAGACAGGTTATGGAGACAGTAGAAGAAAATGAAACCACTCATATTAAGTTGGAAGGAGGTGCCTATCACTGAAGACATAATCTTTGAGTCTGTAGAATAAACCACAGCGCATCCTTTTTTTTTTTTTTGATAGGAAAATATCTTTTGTATTAATAAATAAGAGGTAAATTACATAACAAAAGGTTGGATAAGAGATCCAACTAGAAAAAAAAATTAAAAACAATGAAGAAAAAAGAGCCAACGAATCACATGAGCTCTCCATCCCGATAGAATAACAAAAAGCGGAATTCTTTTGAACTCCATTGAAACCAAAGCCCAAAAAAATGCTAAGAAATGAATACAGGTCCACTGCCCATCCTGGAGTTATTAGCTCTGTCAAAACTTCCATTTCTCAAGAAAACCAAGAAACCAAATATGTCATAATGATTATTATTATTCTTAATAAACTCTCTCAAACAATGTCTTCAAGTTCTTGCATACTGCAAGTGCAAATAAAATGCGGCGCTTTCCATAACCTATTTGTATCATAACACCTAATGTAATTCAGTAATTGAAGATAAAATAAAACCAAAAGCAAGACCCTGAAATAACTGATGACATTAAAGGATATGACACATAAAACAACATGCAGTTCAGTCTTGTTACTCAATGCAATAATTCTGAATCAATAAGAACCTAGTAAATAACTTTAAAACAATCCCGAGTCAACTGATGGAATCCGTACACAATAGACAATTGTTAGGGGTAGAAATCGCGCGTTCGGATCTCATCCCTGAACTCAAGGATTTCGGCTGACCTGGCGTGTGCCAAAGCGACCACCCAGTAGTCTTTACCTCTCAGTGCCCGTGCGGAGCTTCGTCCCACAACGACTGAGAGTCGTCTCCCCCACCCCCTTATAAGCCTGAGCCCCTTAGGGATGGGTACCCACAGGGGCTCAGGCTTATAAGGGGGTGGAGGAGACGACTCTCAGTTGATGTGGGACGAAGCTCCGCACGGGCACTGAGAGGTAAAGGCTACTGGATGGTCATTTTGGCACACGCCAGGTCAGCAGAAATCCTTGAATTCAGGGGTGAGATCCGAACGCGCGATTTCTACCCCTAACAAAAAGGCGCCTTACGGAGAGAGTCAATCATGTCCACCGTAAGGCGCATTTTTGTTAGGGATAAAAATTGCGCGTTCGGATCTCATCCCTGAACTCAAGGATTTCGGCTGACTTGGCGTGTGCCAAAGCGACCACCCAATAGCCTTTACCTCTCAGTGCCCGTGCGGGGCTTCATCCCACATTGACTAAGAGTCGTCTTCCCCACCCCTTTATAAGCCTGAGCCCCTTAGGGATGGGTACCCACCAGGCACCTGATCAGGTCGCTAGTGGGTACCCATCCCTAAGGGGCTCAGGCTTATAAGGGGGTGGGGGAGACGATTCTCAGTCGATGTGGGACGAATTCCGCACGGGCACTGAGAGGTAAAGGCTATTGGGTGGTCGCTTTGGCACACGCAAGGTCAGCCGAAATCCTTGAGATCAGGGATAAGATCCGAACGCGCAATTTCTACCCCTAACAACAATCAAAGGCCAAGACAAATATTACCTTAGCACACATAAAGAAGCATTAAACTATAGTTATGCCTAACAAGGAACTAAATTACGTTTTGAACGGTCAAAGTGTTTTGACATTTTTCGACCTATGTTTTTGTTTTCATCTTGTTTCCAAAATGCTTACAAACATTACAAAAAAATTTCCAATTCCATGCTCACCAAACTATACACATAAACAAATTTTTGATCCCTGATGCCTAAAAGTTATAAAGAACAGAATATTTAACAAACGTAAATGCAATGAACAAAAAATGCATTGAGCACTAGAAAACATTGATAAAATCAGATTAATGATACCTGCAAAGAATATATCCAATAGGATGCCATGCAAGATCCCAAACGCTGTTATCATGTGCATTTGATATTTCAACCTGAGGAGTTTCATGCCTGTGCATCAGCATATTTTTAGTGGAGATGTGAGAGAAGGCCTATCTGACATAGAATCCAAACTTGCAGCAAGGAACAAAATTGACACCACCAAATAATCATAATGAGCCACCCAAGCAACCAATGTAACAGATGAATCAAACCAGAAAACTGGTCAGAAAATTCACAATCACATGGTTTACATCATTTGATGAGCAATATATATTTTCATCAAGAAAAGAAGGGATTAACTTGAAGAGGCAATTGAGAGATGCTTCATAATCTAAAAGTGACAGTTAAAGAACTTATACATGGGATAAGTTAGTGAATCCCAGTATAAAGATGAGAAGCTAATGATGTTATTACCCAATTTAGGATTCTAGAAGGGGTGGACCAGATACAAAACCTACGTAGTACCTTTTGGCAATATTAGATTATGAAGCATACAAACCCATAAATTCACGGTTGTTAACCCGCCACTTCTACCACTGCATTAAGCAATGACCCCTTAAAAATGATCATTATGCACTTTTTCCTGGTAATCGAACAGCTGGGAGGAATGGACAAGATACAGTTTTTTTTCAGTTTGCACAACATGATTGCCCTGATATCAAACTCACAACCTTACAATTGTTAGCCCGACACTTTTACGGCCGCACCAAGCAATAGCCCTGGTCACAAATATTGTTAGGAGTCATCACTTTTGATATCCCATATTGTTAGATGTACTGTGATGAAGACTAAAAACTATTTTAAAATAAATTAAGGAAGAGTTTGGGTAGTAATATGTCATCACCACAAATCTATTAAGTTGAAGCAAATATTCTGTGAAATAAATCAAATTGGATTCTCAGAATTACCGATAGCAATTAATACGGAAAAAACTACATCTAATGACAATGTAGTCGTAGCATAAGGTAAGGAAAAGATGAGAGAATACTGCCTAAGATCATTATGCCTTGTGCAACAAAGTCAAAATACAACATAAAAAAGGGAGATGGAAAACACATGATTGGCCACAATGAAAGTGACGACCCTGCAGATAGCTAAATCAACAAGAGCAGTAGAAAAGGCTGAGTACACTCGTTACATTATGACATACTCATGCTGGAGTAAAATTGAAAAACAATAATAAGGATAAAGGATTCCTTTACTTTTGTTATTAATAAAGTAATGTTTCCTATCAAAAAATAATAAAAAGGATTGCGTACAAGTTTGGATTAAAGGAGCTTCTAAGCATAGGAAGAACCTCTCAACTACTGAGTTTTGTTTATTTTCTTTTTCATATATTTGATCATTGATGCATCGCTGAATTTGAAATGCCATTTCTCAGGAATAACCTGATTTCTCCCTTCATATTGGAGAGATCTAGGATCCCTTTCTGGGAAAATTGGGGATGAGGACAGGACTCTTCCAAAACACTTCTCTGCGACTTTCTCTCTTATGTTCATGGGGTTCCCATTGTTAACTTTACGGGTTGTCTTAATTCTTCAATTTCTCGGAATTTGAACCTCTTTAGAAACTTCAATTATTGAATATTGCCTAGTTCACTCTTCTTCTATGATATATGCAGTTTTTTAACTGGTCTGGATGAAAGATAACAGAAGTTTGTTTCTTATTACCCTCGAGGATAACAGAAGTTGGATAATAGTGGTAACTCTTTCCAGAAAACCAAATGTCAGCTTCTCTTCTACAATTGCAGAGTTTCCATTGTTTTCATTCAGCCAAGTTGATCTAGAAGACAAAGGCTCCACCAAAAGTTAAGTCTCTTACATGGTTAGTGGCTGACAAGAAGGTCAATACCCATGAGGTGCTCCAAAGTCCAAACTAGGAGGCCCAATCAAGCTCGTAGTCTAGGTATGTGCTTTCTACTTCAAAGCCAAGACTTTGTCTCATGGGTTGGGTTATCCCACAAGAGATTCATTAGGCACTGTGCTTTTATGAACATCATCTAAGCCATTGACATGAGAAGAATTCTAGAGTCTTGGAGGGCACAAATGATACAATTTTAATATGTGGGTTCAAACTTTAGGATAGCCACTCTGGGCAAATAATTTCAAAGGTTATGTCTGTAAGTAGTCTATTCTTCCTACACCCCCGACTTGGGCAGCTGGGGGCTACTGTTATCTCCTTTGATACCAAAGACTTACCCTTAGAATAGTACAATTGGACCATGTTATCTGTCATATTATTATGCCATGAAATAGCATTACTCTTTATATTTTAAAAATTGAAGAGATTCTTTCATAAATTACTTTTATACATTTATATGTCAAACAAGCATCACCAATTAGAATTTGAAAAAAATAAATTAGAAATTCAAAGAGGAGAGAATACACAGCACACATTGTACGCAAAGACTTGAATTTCGATTGATTAATCTTCCAGGATCAACATATTTGTGATAAATTGAATCACTTTTAGAATTGTGATTTTAATATGACTACTAGTTATAGTTTGCCCCCGCTACATATGAAACTTGGCTCCGCCCCTCCTTCCACTAATGGAGACCAAACTGAAAGCTCTTTTTTCATATTTTTTTTTTGTGAATCTCCTGTGGAATTCCTTAGCAAAAAAAATTAAATGATGGCCCCTCGATTCTATAGTTCGAAAGTGCATGGCGGTAGCTACTTCTCAACCTTACAAAAGGATTCGAGGGTTTCTTATGGGACTTCCAAGGAAATACAATTCTCTTGTATACTAGACCAACAACTACAATTATGCCATCACAACAGAGATTTTGATGCTTTAGAAGGGCCCTAGCCAGGCCCACTCTATGGTGTTTCACCATTATTTGATGGAAGATGACTCTAATAGAGTAGTAGGTGTGGTAAAAAAATGAAAGTCCTTGGTTCTTGTGCCAAATGTTGAGAGAGAGAATAGATTATACTTCTACTCTGCACACAGTTATGTCATGCATTCTAAGATAAATCATTTGGAAGAAAGCAACTTGACTAAGAGAAGGCTTTTTCATTTAAAGGACATTTTTTTCCACCTTGAGGAGAGTGGGTGTTCTTCGGATCGTAGAAGCTTTAATATACAATTTTCTTGATTTGCCTTTTTCATTTTTTCCTATTGGATAAAGGATTGCTCTCATCCTTCCACCCTTTTAATCCTTGATTTCTTTCTATTGAAGCTCTCGTTTTGTATCAACAAAAACATTTGAGTAACCACAATTTTGTCCCAATGGCAAAGTGTCCCCAGTGATGACCTAGACAAACCAGATTCGATTCCCCTTCCCCATCATTGTATATCAACAAAAATCAATAAGTACATTAAAACCTAGTTAGATTCAGTCCAAACAAATTCTTGTAAAGTTATTACCACAATCTTGTGATGAAAAGAAGACAAGAAAAATCTCTCCGTTCATTTCTCTGCGTCCCTAGATAATCTAAGTTTTTTTATTAACATTTGAAGGTTTATGCCAT